CTGATCCTTCTTTAGTCAGTCGTTGTTGTTTTCGTGGAGAGATTTAAGGGCGCCCATCGCCTCATAAGTTAATTGCTCCAAGCTTTTTCCATCTTCATCCACGTCATCTCCGCTTTCAAAATCGTCCCAGAATTCGTCCCATTCTTTGCCTTCATATTCCGATGCTTCTTCTACTCCTCATGTTTCATCGTCTGACAACTCTACTCCTCGGCATGGCATGCATATTTCATCGCTTATCATCATGAATGCCATCTCTTCCGTTGTGTCTTGTGCTGTGTTCGCTACTTCTGCGTTTCGTTGTTCCGCTTTGAGTTTTAGGCAATCCGATTTTCTGTGTCCAATCTTTCCACAGTGGAAGCACTTTCCGCTGAAATTCTTCTTTCCTTGAAATCAGCCACTGCTCCCATTGTTCCTTTTGAATTTACCGGTTTGTCTTTCCTTGGTACCTTTTGTCCTGTAGCTTCTTCCGTTCGAGCCTTTCTTGTCTGGGCAGTCTGTTTGCTTGTGTCCGATCTTCCCACGAGTTCCTGCATCTGCCCTTGAACTGTTTCCTCAAGTCTGAAAAGACTGTTTTCGCCATTGTGGTCTGTCGACTTGTTCCGTTGCCTTAATCTCATCGTAGATTTCGCATAAGTCATTCACCACACTCCTTACCGTTTATTCCATGTCCTATTGTCTTGATCCTTCTCAGAACTTTCTTCTTCACTTCTGAGTAACTCCGAGTTCTCCTTCCTTCTTCAGCATCTTCTCAGAAGGTCCTTGATGTACTCTTCATCCGATATCTTGAACCCGTCCTTCGCTAGCTTCTTTCGTTTCACGTCGAGTCCAATCTCGAACTTCTTTGGGTTCTCCTTGATATCCATCTTTATCGCGTAGTATTCCGTTCGTCGAGCTGCTACCTAACCACTGTCTTCAGCATCGTAGAGGTCCAGCCATGGACTCCCACATGCCCTTGAATTTCCCAGCAGCATGTCAGTCTTTGGTGTGAGGCCAGTAGGTCGAACGGCGACTTGCCTTCGATGCGTCTCCACATTGATCGAAGTCCAGCAGTATTCCAGCAGCTCTGCTGTTCTTCTTCTTGCAGACTTCTCGACCTTTTCCACTTCGTCGTCCGACAACTTGCCTGCACCTGTAGGTTTTCCCAGTTGTCGCGGCTTGATCTACGTAGAGATCTTCATCAGTTCTACGTACCCATACTTTGATAAATGGGCCATCATCTTGACCTTGTAGAACCTGAACTTCTCATCTTTCCCATCGAAGATGAGGATACTTGCTCGACGCTGATACCTCTACCTCCGTAGACATCTTGACTTACTTCTCCAACTCTTTTCTTTTCTGTTTGACAACCTGGATCTAAGCTCACTCTTTCCTGATAACTATGTTTTAAAACGTTGTTGAAAACAGTGTGAACTTGAATGCACAATTTCTCTAATTTTAATCAATATCCTTCAGCTCTACTTTCTATTAGACTGGCTATTCTGTTTCGTTTTCTCTTTTCTCTCTCGTCCAGATTGTGAGCTCTACAACTGAGCTCCGATATCATACATATACCAGGATCTTTCGATTCTCTGTTTCTCGCAGTTTCATTTGCAGACAGATCTCGTCGATCTATCTTCCTGAAGTGCATGGTTGGCCCTGGAGGCTTTCCCACTTTACTAACCTTTGGACCTTCATCACGTCCATTCATTTGCCCGTCCCATCGCTTCTTGCATTCGTCTCTTCGACCTAAATTCCTAACCTTTGTAGTTGCATTCATCTAGACGACCTTGTCCTCTTCCTCGTAACCTGGCCATCTGATGATGATCGATAACCATCTGATTTGAGTCACACATCCCTAGTCACGAACCGTGACTGCGATCCCGAGTCGTCTGTCCGTCATACGAAAATACCTTTCTTGACAAGTACTGGAAGACAGTTTTGGCTCAAGGAGAGGGGTGGCAGTTTTAAAGACTGAGGGGGCGGGAAGGGGGGACCGACCCTTCGACATATTCTTAACCTTAGCATATTGGTCTGTTACTTAACCAAACCTAACGGGTGATAGTCTGATTCTCAACGGTTTAGTTACCAAAACCTCGGGCGTCTCACCTTTTACTTATTACTTTTGGCTTTTTAAAGGTTGATGTCTTGCAACAACCGGTGTTTGTTTTCGGCAACCAAGATGGTGGGGGGAGTGTTGTTCGTCAATACCAGTGGCGTGCCCGTTCGTCAATACCAGTGTGGCATGAATACGGGCGGCCTTTTTTTTTTTTTTCATTCATCTTCAGCCAATGTTTTCATCCAAGGTTATCGAGGCTGTTGATGTCACTGACGATGTCATGTCAGTGGAGGCGCGATACACGCTGGAGTTAGGAGGTGTGCCGAAACCTCAGGCAAGACCAAGGCTTGGCAAGTGTGGGTTCTATAACCCTAGGAGCAAGGAGATGGCCGCTTTGAAGGAGAGGATCAAGGCCGAAATCCCTAACCGGGCTGTGTTTCGTGCTGGTCAACCCGTGGTTGTTGACATCAAGATCTTCATGAGGAGGGTTTGCCTTTTGCCTACATCGCTACTCCGGATATTGACAATCTCTCCAAATTCGTACTATGAACGGGTTGGTCTACGAGGAAAACAAACAGGTGGCTAAACTTGTGATCTCAAAGCTGTATGATTCTGAACGGGGTTGTAACGGCAGAACAATGGTCGACGTTGCTGGTTTTAAATAGACAGGTTAAAAAAAACTAACTGCGTGTTTTGATCCACCATGCCATGACTTCATCGTCGAGGGAGGGAGAGGGGAAGGCGGTGGCTGCGAATCCGATCTTTTTCAAGTATTTCTGCACATGCATGGGGAAACTGAGACAGATTTTAGGGAACCTTTTTACTAGTTCGTTCGAACCAACCTGGGGCTGAGTGGTGTTGATCGTTGCTTTAAATTCTTTGATGTCTTTCAAATAACTTTCAAAGCGGGTCTTTTCTGCACTCCCAAATTCTCTGGGAGAGGGGCTCAATTGAATTGTTGTCAAGATATTATAGACATCTTCGTTCCTTTCTGGGATATCATATATGGCATTCTCACCAAGTAAACGACGGAGCACTACTTTATAGGAGCGCTTGTGAGTTCTAACAAATCCTTGAAGGAATTGACTGCCTGCATCGTCATTGACGATTGCGAATGAGATGTATGCAATGGTATCGCCTACGAGATTCGAAAACCGTTCAACATCATTGTCCGTGAAAGAGGTGAAAGTAAATGACCAAAGTTTGGCCTTTCGATTGAGGTCTGATGAGACCATCTTCGTAGAAAAAATGGGCTGTCTGATTGCTTCGGGCTGTTGAAAGGTACACAAACTAGTTACTATCCACATTTGGTACCTATTGGTAACCTTCCGCTGGCTGGACTGAGATCGTCCAGATAACTGGACACGTACGATACTCGACGGTATAACCGTTCAGTTATGCCGGACACCGGTTGTCGCTCGACAGGATTTTCAAACACGATCTAGACTTAATGCCATCATTCAAAGGTGTTCTCTAGCTAGGACGTAAATGAAACGATTTGATTGGTTGCCAGCATGTCGGATGGGTGTCTGCACTCATAAGGGGTCCGCCAAGTTGTTGAAAATCGACATGTTGTGATGAACAAGAGAATGACACGCCCCGCGCATTTGTATAATAATATTATTACGTAGAGTACATGTTTTGTATTCGCTTGCACGACTGAACTTTCTCGCTGAAACAAGCGAACTGCGACCACAAGATGCCTCCGGTTGCGCAACCACGGAAATAGAAATAGAGTCAAGCAAAAAGGGCTGTCACTTGATTGCAAATAGTTAATACTTACTGCCATGGGCTCCCAGAATGTATACGTGCTTTAGATAGCTGCTGCGTAATGGTTTAATCTACCTAAACCACTGTTTATATTATTGAGGAGTGGAGTTTGGTTACATCTGGCCGGTACCGTAGTAATGGTCTAATCTACCTAAACCCCGTTTATATTGAGGAGTGGAGTTGGTTACATCTGGCCGGTACCGTGTAATGGTCTAATCTACCTAAACCCCCGTTTATATTGAGGAGTGGAGTTTGGTTACATCTGGCCGGTACCGTGTTAATGGTCTAATCTACCTAAACCCCCGTTTATATTGAGGAGTGAGTTTGGTTACATCTGGCCGGTACCACGTAATGGTCTAATCTACCTAAACCCCCCTTTATATGAGGAGTGGAGTTTGGTTACATCCGGCCGGTACCACGTAATGGTCTAATCTACCTAAACCCCCCTTTATATGAGGAGTGGAGTTTGGTTAATCGGCCGGTACCACGTAATGTTAATCTAAAATAACCCAAGTTTTAACCATACATACCGGTGCTCGCACAGTTATTACCGGTACGGTGCATAAGGTAAACGCGACCTAGCCAAGCAGGGTGAAGAGTCAAACCAGACGAGTCAAGCCTACCAAAACCAAATATTCTATTTGAGTCTTACACTCCTTCTGTTGGGCTCAACTAGCAAGTCTCACAACATCTCCTTGTCCACCAAGTCTTCCTCCTTGATTGAGCCTGAGTACTCACGCGGTTGGTTCATCTGGTCCTGATCAGCCTGAACAACCATCCGACGAGATACTCAGGAAATTTTCTCCCACCCACCCACCCGGTAAGCACTGGTGTTGTGTTGGGGAAATGCCTTCACCAACAACACCCTTCACCAGTGCTGGAATGTAAAAGGAAAAGGAGCACATCTAGAGACAACTACTTGACACTTGCAGCAGAATCCACATATGATCTCCAGAGAATGTACACAGGCATCCTGGCATTGAAAACAGTGTGAAACATGATCTGTACCAAGTTGTAGTCTATTAGCATCCCTACTCCAACCTTACACCCATTGGTTCCAGCTCCATGCTACCAACATGGCCTGGGTGCCTGAGATACATCCCCCCTACCGGTTAACCCTAACCCTACAAAAAGGACCAAAAAAAGGGACGACCACAACAAAATTCTAACCCAGCCAACTCCGTGGTTGGCGACTATCAAATGGGTGTGCACCCTTGAACGAAGTCAGCTTCATCGTGAACAATTGCACACCATACTAGTACACCATTTGCGAACACACTGTACTAGTACGCACAAGGAAGCTAGCAACTCTTTGCTTTGATCATTGATCGCTCCGCTAACCAATTTTGAGCCAAAGGAGTCTTCGCAAAGACAACTTATTAATATCCCAAGGTTTACTGCATCATTCAAGCCACATCATTATTCATTGATCCTCTACTAGTATTGCAAAAAGGGAAGCGACAACCTCCGCAAGAGACGACGACACAAAGAGACAAGGCAACATAACATACCAGAGCCAGCATCCTAGACTTTCTTGGTGAACCACGACAACAGGATGGCACAAGTCAAGACTTCCGCGTTGGCTAATGAATCGGAAAGTTTTACAAATATTCATTTTTTCAAAGGGCTGTTTGGTCGGGTTGAAAGGGACACGATTGCATTGGGAGGCAGAAAGAACTTTCTGAGAACGGATACCCTCATTGTTCGGACTTGCTACAAACATCTCTTGCCACACATCCACAATGAATGCCAGCCCAAAGTAGGACCAGGAGGCACCGAATATGACTGTCACTGCGCGGTAACGGGTACTCCTGGGATCGGCAAGACGGTATTTGGCCTCTACCTGCTCCGCCATTTTATCATCCAGAGAGAAACGGTGCTTTACTGGGGACAGGACAACTGTGTATATCTATTTTCATTTGATTCAGCGGTCCAAAGAATTTTTGGGCTGAAAGAAACGGAGGCTGGGATGGCTCCGGAGGATGAAGAGAAAAACGGCCAATCCCGAAAAATGTATTGTGGAAAATGGTCCGTCCCCGATGGATCCAGTGTTCGTTGGACTGACTTTTTAAACTGCGCCGACGAATACAATATTATCTTTATCAAGGATCCAGCTGAGGGCGACAAAAGAGTTTCACTTCGGGCACACGAAGTTTCGAGACTCATCTACATTGTATCTCATGGACACTCCTTGATTAGTCATTGGAACTTGAAAGGACACGACTTCGAGTTCTTCTATATGCCTCTTTGGACCAAGCAGGAAGCCGAACAATGCAGGCAATTTTTGAAGCCTCAGACTCGAAATGCTGGATTTGATTCTCTTGCCAGTTTATCACAGCAAGAGATTGACGATAGGTTCCACAGTTTTGGAGGAAGCATTCGCGGGTGGGTGTTTCCGGCTCTTTGGGACGAACTCGATTCCAAAGTAACAGAGGTTGTGCAGCAAAAGGGCGACAATATTCTGAAGAAATCCCCGAACAGTGGAGGCTCTGTTATTCACATGGAAGTCGCATTTGATAAAAACAGGCCTATACTGAGCCTTGTATCACCCCAGCAAGAGGACGCCATGGATGAAAGTGAAGAAAGTGACGAAAATCCGAATAACTTTTCTGAATACCAATACATTTTTGGTTCTGAAAAGATATTGGATGTTTTAAACGAGAAATTGCTCCACCAAGGTCAGGAGACACTGAGGCTATGCCTCCAAAACTGGGCCAGTCAAAATGGCTTCGAGTGTGTCTATGGATCTCTCTTCGAACTACATTGTCATCGTCGGTTGGAAAGCCAAAATGGAAATCTCAAGCTGAGGATGCGTATTGTTTACGAAGATGCCAGCAGAAACAATGACAACATTTATGAAATTCTATTTCCGAAATTTGAAGGTACTTGCCGGTATCCATCAAACGATCCATCCATCCTTGAAGACTGCCGCTACAATACCAACAAGCTGGGAATGTACTTCTGGCCCATCTCCAGCAATCACCCAACTTATGATTCTGCCATTGTTGTAAACAGAAAGGACCTGCTTGCACATGGTGATGATCAGGATATTTTTGGGGATAATGTAGGACAGGTCGCGCTGCTGTTGCAAATGACTGTGTCTGGGGCAACTGGCTTACCTCGTCGGCCCGAACACTCTGTGAAACAACTCATCAGGGAAAAATTTGAGGCAGTTTTCAACAAAAGAGTCAACGGTTTTAAGGAAAAGGGGAAAGCCTACACTGCATTTGTTGTACCAACTGAATGTTTCAAGCCGTTCTTGTTTCAGGACGAAGAAAATACGACTGGTCACAGAGCTAGTGTTCAGCCAAAATGTCAGCTAGTGATTGAATTCCCAAACGTCTTCACATATAAGATGAGGTCTCCACGTGCAAGGACAGAGAAGCCGCACATGTTTGAGCGAAAGAAAAGGAAAGTATTTCACAAGTATGATCATGCGATTCAGCAAGCAGAGATTAATTTCTGAGCCTCTTCTCGTTGGTGAACCTGCCTTGCAGTCGATGGTATGTTGGAGTCTTGTTATTCCTGTCAGGGTCTTAGGCCGGTCTCTACTCTACCGGAGCGACTAAGGGACCGACTAAAGGAATCCTTTAGGTGGTTGTTTAGTTCAAGATTTAGTCACTATCCTTTAGTAATGGTGGTGTCTACCAGCAGATGACTAAATCTCCGACTAAACAATTTAGTCAGTTCTTTAGTCATTTGGACCTGTCTACCCAGCCGACTAAACAAATTGACTAAACAATTCATGGGAACAGTACTGGACTTAAAGGACTCAAAAAAGATTTAACAAAAGTGATCACTTGGTGGGCTACCAATATTCTATCAGCATGGTGGATTTAAAGGACTCAAACAAAGACTTAAAGAAGTGATTACTTTTTTGAGATAACAAGACTCAAAACACACCATTGCGATGCACCTCTACTATCATTCAATCGTTCGATCGTTCGCACCTCTCCTCTATTGGCACTGATTCGATGGCCTAATAGTGAGGCTAGGAGTGTGGAATTTGTTATCAAACTCAGTGGCATGCAGTTGTATCGGCCGATACTCCTCTTCGATCATTCGATCGTTTGCACCTCTACTACTCCTCTTCGATCGTTCGATCGTTTGCACCTCTACTACCGGTATCGGCCGATACTCCTCTTCGATCGTTCGACTACAGTATCGTTTGCACCTCTACTCTATCAGCTCTGTCGCGATGCTCTGATAGTGAGGCTGTGCAATGAGGCTGATTCATTCATAATAAAGAGTTCTTCTACTCTATCAGCTCTGTTTTGTTTCTTAGAGTTCTTAAACAAGCTTTAGTCCTTACGCTCGCTCACGGACTAACCAGCCTCCTGTTAGTCGGTGAACGAGCGTTTTGACTAAAGCCTTTAGTCCATACAACGTTTAGTCGCTTGGGTAGACACCACCTCCAGAGACTAAACTATCAACTAAACTATGAAATATGGCTTAGTCGCTACTTTAGTCGCTCCGGTAGAGAGCGGCCTTACTGCATAGCTTGAGACCGCTCAATCGCCGCAAAGGCTGCAATAAATAAAAAATTTAAAAAATTGAGCTCAATCGCCGCGTGGCTATTGCAGGTGGCTATTGCAGTAGGGACCGCTCAATGCGGAGGCTCAAGTGCAAGGACGCTCAATCGCCGCAAGGCTCAAGCTCCCTTATTATCCAAGGGGGGACCGCTAGGTCCACTTAATGGCGGTCCCCTCTTCTCCTAAAAGGGAAAATAGTAGGGGGATCGGGAGACCAGAGGAGGTCGTGCGATGAGAACGAGGAGGAGGAGGAGGAGGTTGATGAGGGCGTTGAGGAGGATGGATTAACAAATGGATGTCAAAGTTGTTCCCTTAAGGTGCCATCAGTTGATGAGGGGATAAAAAACATGGAGGCTTACGTGGTTGTTGGATTGAATTAATTTAGATGCTTATTTGGACACTCAGTCGCCGCTAAGGCTAGTTTGGGACGCTCATTCGCCGCTAGTAGGGCTATAGTTTGGAAGGTCCCCTGGTCGGTGGAAGCGTGGAAACCATGCCAGCCCGCCCACGGTGGTGGAGGGGACACCATGGGGGACTGGGGGCCGAGCGTGGGACCGTGCTTTTAATGCCGGATCCTAAGCCTTCAGCTTGATCCTAATTAACCGCGGTCCCCCGGTCCCCTTTTTTCGGTTCCACCATAGAAAAAACAGTACTTGGACCAGGGGACCCGAGGGGGTAATAATAGTTTCGACATATACGCCTCTAGGTGCACACTTGATCGGTGCATCTTTTGTCGGCATCATGTCTCACACCCCTCGGGTCCCTGGTCTCCTGGTCCTTTATTATTTTTTGCAATGGGATTCCGTTACCTGCAAAAGGTGGTGCGAGAGCACCAAGGTGGCCTTGTGCGGAACCACTACAAGGATCTGAAATATGCGTGTCTTGTTCTATACAATGCGATTATCGATGGTTTGACAAAAGGGCGATTAGGAGGTGTTAACTTTGTGGATACGGTGTTGGAGGCTTCCGATATCATTGAGGAGACTACGCTGATGAGGGAACAGATGAAAGGAGATGAAAAGACCTACAAAGACTATATGATTGACTGATTGGCAGAAAATGGCGTACAGGATTCCAAGAAAGGCTGATACTTTTGAACGGTTCCGGAATAGGAAGAGCAACAAGGTGAGGGACTGTGTCATTGAAGTAGTAACGAAGATGTACAGGCTTGACCAAATCAACCGAGTGGAGATCAACCGAGTGGAGGAGACGTGATTAGGTTTAAAGCTCTTCGACTACTGTTGATGCAGGAGGGATTGATAGACCTAGGCGTTCACCAAGGCGCTGCCTTGTATTCTTGAGATTCTTGGTTTGGATTAGATTGCAGCTTGGCATACTGATTAGCATGCAGCCTTCCATGGTTACTGGTTGGTCAAGTTCCTCAATGTCATCCTGAATTTGATTCACCGTGGAATTTGGAAACCATGACCTTATGTTTGCTTCTTCATCTTGACGGATCAGACAGCATAGCTGCAAGTAGCACTGTGTATGATTGTAAGTGACAAAGGCTTCAGTTACGAAATCCTGTCGCATAAAATCCACCATTGTGATGTAGTCTGGGAGAGTGACACATGGACTAGTAATGATGAACATTGGGAAGGTCTAGTTTGGATTAATGAGATTTCTATTCGTCCTTACTTTCCCCGGCATCTTCAGGAAGAATCCAGTTTACTCCATCCTTATCAATGTATTCGATGATAGTGCATCCGTAGTTGGGAACAAAGTACCTGTCACCAACATCGATCCCTCTGGAGTGCCAATCCTCTTCATCACAAGCGGCCGTGTAATGATGCCCGTGCCCGGGTTGAGGGCTATGATAGTGCATCTTGCAACAATAAGGGCATTTAATACTGGTATCACCTTGCCGCCTCAATGCAACAGGGATGCCGTAGTATCCTTGCAAATACACTCTCATCTCATCCGGACTCATATCGAAAGAGGTCATGGTCGTCATTTGTTTCTTTATAAACGTGAACTAGCTGGGCTGTAACGAATCTCTATGGAACTAATTGTGGAAGTACCGCGTTATTTTTCGGACTCTTAATTTTAAGGGTACTCCAGTGGCATCAACTTTTGGCATGTTTTCAAGGTCCGTTCTGCCCGTCCTGCAATACCAATAAAATTTAGGGAGGTCTTCGACTTTCATGTCGGGCGTCGGGGGTTGGTTGGGGGGTTGTGAGTTTAGTAGCGCTACCTAGGTATTGGATTGTTGGTTGAGGTTTTTTTTAGTGAGCTTAGCGCTACCTAGGTAATCAGCAGCCGCAGAGGAAATTGAAATGGACGAGGACAGATTGGGGAGTGTTCCGGGGGGCATACTTTGCATATTGACCTCGAGGGTTGTCCCAGGCGCTGACGATGGTTGACTTTTGAATGTATGATTGTGTGATCTTTTTCGGTATTGTTGTTGGATCTGCTTTGGTTAAAGCGGCGGCTAACTCAATGTATGCTTGCTCGGCCATTTCAGTCAATTTCTTAAGCCATGAATTGAAGCATCCGACATCATTTGGGGAAGGGGGTGGGTAACTCTCACAGAAGAAAAGCATCACTTTGATGACTTTCTTGAGCCTTTTGTATTGGCCTTTGATTGCCAACTTTTGACTTGGAAGCTTTGCTTTATATTCCTGACTTTGCAGCTCCAGCTGGTAACCTTCCATGCAGCGGCGATAGAAGAAGGCTACGAACAATTCCTGGAGCGACGCATCCTTTCTAAGGCTTTTCATGCTGTCGGAAAAGAAGAGAGCGGTGGCGCTGGACTCGTGCTGTGGTGTGGGTTGTTGCTTGGCATGTTTGATTTCGAGGACTTCCACAATCCTGGAGAGGAGGGTTGATTGATGGGATACGGTGGCTTCCAAGCGTTGGTTGCTGCGTGCCAAAGCAGTTACATTATTGCGAAGATGGTGGACATCATCCTGGAGCGCCATTTTCTGGGCCAAGAGGGTTGAGAAAGATGCAGATAATTGGCTGTAGTGCTCAAACAGGCAGCGAGGGTCGACATGTTTTATGGCGTTGGCTGGAAGCAGATTGGTTGGAAGGGACATGAAGTTGGAAACCACAAACCCTTCACGAACTTCCTTACTCCAATTGGAGAACGTTTCCTTGGATACTTTGGAGAGACGGAGTGATTCTTGAATGGTGTTGACTAGGACATGACGTGAGGTGTCATTGTAAATATCTGCTGGGTGTTGGATGATGATGTGAATGAAATCATCGTAATGCCTCAGCATTGATGCTGTCAAAAGGTTTCTGATAGAGAGGGGCCATTGGTTGTTGGTATCTGCAGTGAACAGGGCTTGGACAAAACCACTCACTAGATCTGTTGGGCATCTAAGAAGCGCATAATGGGTTCGCGAAAACAGCGAGTCTGGAAGGTACCGAACGACATGCGTCCTAGGCGATTGTGACGTCATTGCTCCCGGATTTGGATGGTTTTGTTGTGGAACATGTACTGGGTTCTCCATGGGTGTGGCAGTATGCACCTTTTGGAACCCTGCATGCATCCTAAATTCCCAACCCCATAGGTACCGACCAATTTTGTGGTCCCGTTTTGTCCCCTATGCCATACCAATGAACATGGAAACTACATACAGAATCCGGTACGAGCGGTTTGGGGGTTAGCTTTTGGTAACCACACTCACATTTTGTAAGTCGTGTAGACTTTGCCTAAGGTATTACAGTTCCTTTATAGGGCTAGCGATCGGCAATTACTACTAGCTAGCTACTACTCTAGTTGTATCATGTGTTTTGTATTGCGACTACTGTAAAGCTTGGTTTGAAAGCAAGAGGGCACTAAGTGCTCACACCAACCAATCTCGGAGTTGCATTGCAGCAAGGCAGATTTCACTTGGCATTGGCAAAGCAACAAGAAGTACTAGTACTAGGAGAAAAAGGGACATGACTACTGCAGGGCTTGGTGCCACTGACACTGGAAGACCCGCTAAAGCACCACGGAAGTTAGAAGATCTGCAGAAGAGGAGAGAGGTCACATCAAGTCAAATGCCAGCCATTCCCAAGACATGGTGGAGGAAATCAAATTGCTTGGGCCATGCAAGTATGGTGGTGGTTATTGGTTCTGAAAGCAGGAAGACAATCAGAAAACCAGCAGCTGACCCGCGGTTTGGTACCCGAGATGACGGCAATGGGGAAGCAAAAGAGGAGGCAGATGAAGGAAGCCATAGAGAAAATGATGGAGGAAGTGACGACGTTTCGCAAGAAGACACAGTGATGATGAATAGTAATGAAGATGATGATAGAACCAGCAGTGGTGGATCAACAGCTACCCTGGTACAAATTTCCAAGGGAATGGAACCATGAACAATGAAACTCCAGACGAGAACATCAGACAATTCGGCAATATTGTCAGGATTAAAGAGACGTTCCTCCCCTTGGATAAGAACAGGCTCGGGGTGTCAAATGTTATGGATATCCTTCGAAAGAGACAAGGCGCCTTTGACTGCGTAGATGATGTGTTGACATGGAACTTGGATGAAACTGGAGACCCTGATGGGTGACGAGAAGTCTTGGGAGGTTCCGG